TGAAGTTAGCCTCTTCAAATTAAAAAAGTATGGAATTATTGTGTCTTTTTTATTCATTAAAATCAATTTACGACATCTTTACGAGTAAGGTTCATATCTTTCCATGATGACTGCTAAAGAAAATGCCTGTCAGATTTCATAATATCACTGTGTAATTCGAAGTTTCAGCCAATTGAGTACGTGTGCCTTCAACAGTTGCACCAAATCGTTAAACATTATATTTATACTGTCCTTCTATATATGCATCATCACTTTGTCAAAAAAAAAACAAAAAATAGAACAACGAAGAGGACTTTATCTTATTGATTATTGATGTCCTTTTTCCTTTTTCTTGAATCCTTTTGCAGCTAAATGATGAGCTAAAGAAAGTAGATGAAAAGCTGAAAAAAACAGAAGCTCTTCTTGAAAACAAGGTACATGTTTTGCTGCTGTTATTACATGTCCTCAATATTCATGAATACTTTCCTACCTCTATTCTATTCTTCTATGATTGTGCGACGGCCTTTTATAACTAACTGAGATAAGGAAATTAACTAAGAATTTAGAGCCTAATAATTCAGAATTATGAATTTAACGAGACCTTTACGTATTTCAGAATCTTGAGATTAAGAAAATAAATGATGAGAAAAAGTCAGTGCTGGCTGCACAATTTGCTGCTGAAGCTACTCTTCGGAGAGTTCATGCTGCACAGAAAGATGATGAGATGCCGCCCATTGAGGCAATCATCACACCCCTCGAAGCAGAGTTAAAACTTTCCAGATTAGAGGTACTTGTCGACTTTGGTATTCTTCGCGGTTCTTGAGAATTACTCATGTTGCTACCTTGGTGAAGTTTGGTAATGCTATCTCTTCCAAAATTTAAAAGTTTGCCTCTCGTGACTTCGGTTGCAGATGGCAAAGTTGCAGGATGACAATAAAGCACTAGACAGACTTACAAAATCTAAAGAAGCCGCTCTACTGGAGGCAGAACGAACTGTTCAAATGGCATTGGCAAAGGCTGCTTTGGTTGATGACCTGCAAAATAAAAATCAAGATCTAATGAAACAGATAGAAATATGCCAGGTTTTGCCGACACTAAAGTTTCTTCAGATTTTGATATCAATGGGAAGCGTACTTCCATTTTAGCTGTCATTATCAAGAGTCCGATGTAAGCATCTAGACTCATATTGCAGGAAGAAAACAAAATATTGGACAAAATGCATAGACTGAAGGTTGCAGAGGTTGAGAAACTAACACAAACTGTATGGGAGCTTGAGGAAGCTGTATTGGCTGGTGGAGCTGCAGCAAATGCTGTACGAGAATACCAGAGAAAAGTGCAAGAACTGAATGCAAGTGGATCTTAACTTTACAACCTATTCTTTCTTTATATCTTGCTATTTTTTCTTCTTATTTGATAATTCAGTATCTGTCATATATTGAGCCTGACTAAATGTTATGATTTGTAGGAGGAGAAAAGAATCCTAGATCGTGAGCTAGCCCGTGCAAAGATTTCTGCAAACAGAGTAGCTGTTGTTGTTGCCAATGACTGGAAAGATGCCACTGACAAAGTAATGCCTGTAAAACAATGGCTTGAAGAAAGAAAATATTACCAGGCATGAATACTTTAGCTTTCTTGATTTACTTTCTCTGAAAAAAACATATGCTAATTGTCGTAATAGTGCAATGTAAAATGACCTTTATTGTAAACTAGGATGGTTGCACGAATCAACCTGAATTTGCCCTTATTCAGTTCTCATTAATATATGTGAGTAACTAATTACTAATAGAACATGGGTTGGAAGGTAGAGAGGCTGCTTCCATCTCAAGGAAAGAAAAAGAAGAAAAAGTTGGACATGGAAATAAAGTAAGCAACAAAAGGGATTACATGAGGTATGTGGTTGTTCCTTGAAATGGATATTTCATCGCCTCACTAATTAGTAAGTCTCAGTTGTTGGACCTACATCTTCTCTTGCAATTTTCATATAAATCAAAATGTGAGATCAAATGAAGACAGATAAATGGGACTAAAGGAGTCAACTTTAAAGGAGAGTGGACCTTCAACCTCAAGATGTGAGGTCAAACCACGATAGATCAAAGGGGAAAAGGCTGTCAGCTTTAAATGAGAATAGGCCACTTCTATCTAACTAGTTTTCTCTGGATATGCAACCATGGTACTTAAAAAGCAGAATAAACCAAGTGTTACCTTGGATATCAGATTTATCATATGCATTTCCACATATACTCAGTAGGTATGATGCTCGACATTCAGGAATGTATATCCTTCTGTATATGTTTTTGCAGGGAGAAATGCAACAGCTTAAAGATAAACTGGCAATTGCAGAGCGTGCTGCAAAAGCAGAAGCACAGTTAAAGGTAAGAAAGTAAATGGTTCAGAAAATTATGCTGCTTTGCACTTATTGTGTACGTGCTACCAATTGCATTCCTTGATTTCCCAGGAAAAGTATCAATTACGATTTAAAGTTTTGGAAGAAAGGTTTAAGGTGCCTTCAAATGTTACATCTCGCACTGCAGCTGAAGGAAGAAGCATAAGCAATGTGCGCTCAAGGCGTATGTCCCTTGGAGGAGTTGAAAACTTGTCTAGACCCTCCAATGGTTCTTTATTACGAAAAACAAGTTTTCAATCTGGATCATCCCAGTCAAATGATGCTAGCTCATTGTTAAAAAAAGCAAAGAACTTATCGGGCGCATTTGATGGCGGCAGCAGATCAGAGGGTAAGGAGAAGCCAGTCCAGCTTACGGATCAGAAAGATAATGGACATAGTGGTACTAGCAGAGAGTCCCATAGCAATGGAATAGTAACTGCACATGAGAATGCAGATTTGAATGCTGCTGAGAAAATGAAGTTGGAAAATAAAGATTATGTTTCTGGAGCAGTGTACGATATGCTTCAAAAAGAGGTTATAGTTCTACGCAAAGCTTGCAATGAGAAAGATCATAGCCTGAAGGACAAAGATGATGCCATTGAGGTTTCATGCTCTGTTTCTCTGAACTCCACAATAAGCTAGAACACAGACACACACGCACAACCCCTCCATTTTGTTTTGCTTTCATTCAGCTTATCTTCATGTGAAATATGCAGATGTTGGCAAAGAAGGTTGAAACGTTAAACAAGGCAATGGCAATTGAGGCCAAAAGAATGCGCAGGGAAGTTGCAGCAATGGAAAAGGAGGTTGCTACAATCCGTAATGGCAAGGAGTATGATCAAAGGCTAAAGTGCAGTTACTCTGCCAAGGAAGCCATGAATGGTCATACACTACCACAAAGGTGATGCTCTCAAAACCCCCCTCCACTAATCAAATTGCTGAATACAGAATGCTCAATAAGGACAACATTCGCTTACATGCGTTAATATATCAGTGTGCGCAAAGGGAAGGTAAGAGTCTCAAAGCTTAAATGCCCAGAGGTAACATGCCTTGAATGCATTTTGACCTTATAGATTGGTTCAGTTTGAAGCCCTTTTATTGTTAGATTCTGCATGGTTCTTTGGGATCTTGAAAGAGAACTTATAGCATCATCTATATCTAAAGATTATGCATTAGTGAAATAAAAACACTATAGACACTTTCTGTTTTCCAAGGTTTGGAATAGGAGTCCATTGTAAGATACTTTTTCACATAGCTCCTTTGAAAATGAGGAAAAGGGAAGTGGAGTAGAAACTTAAGTTGCTCTCCTTCCACTAGTTGGTTTGGGAGGAAAGAGTTGGGGAAATAGACATTCCTTAGGTGAAAGGATAGAGCATCTTTTGAACCCCATTTTTAGTTCTCGCACAAAGTTAAGACTAGTTTTAAACACTATTGTAGTTCTGGCAAGGGAAAGGAACGATCATGACGAGAAGAGTGTCATGTTCTCCCACACTTGCCTACCAAGCAATGTTTTAAAAGAGGGGGTGCGAGGCGGGGTACTTTATGCAGCACGGGGCAAGGCGTAATCCCCAAAACTAGGGGCGTAAGTCTTATGCATCAACAGGGAGTAAGTCTCATGTATCTTCAATTTTGTAATTTTATTACTAATAAAATAAACGAAAGTAAATTTTTCAACAATTCCACAAATAATTTCAAATAAATCATCAATAATATAGAAACATTATTATAATTATTATTTGAAAAAGGTAATAACAAAAAAAATAATATAGATAATCTTTAAAATGAAATCGTCATCGAACTCCACATCTACTAGTCCTTTTGGACCCTCAACTAATTATTTCATTGATTTTTGTTTATATATTTCAAAGGAGGAGGAGGAGGATAAAAAATGAATAAAGTAGTTTCAGGAACACAATGTTATGGAATCTTTATCCTATCAATTTTAGGCATATTTATCTAAAAAACTATTTATGGAGGGTCTTTTTTTATAAGGGTTGCTTTATTTATATATTTTAGAAAAACTACTACTACATAAAACCATGAGCATAAAGTATAAATATCCATTTCTCTCCAGAAGCTGATATGTTGTCCATTCCCTGCTATTAAGTGTTTGTGTTGAGAGAATTCCTCCCATAATTTGCTTATACTTCTCCAGACTCCAACTCCATATGGTTCTGTTGAAACATTAGAACACCAGTTGTTTAGGGCTCCATGTTTAGCAATAATCACATCTTTCCAAAGGCTCTGCTCCTCTTGAGTATATCTCCACAGCCACTTCATAAGTAGGCATTTGTTGTGCAGTGCTAAGTCTCTAATGCCCAGACCACCTAACTTTTTTGGTAACAAGACTGTTGGCCACTTGACCAAATGGAATTTATGGTTGTTGCTATTCCCTTCCCACAGAAAATTCCTTCTGGTTTTGTCCAGTTGCTTCAAAGCCTTGCTGGATATGGGATGTAGTGACATACTATATGTTGGGATACTATCAAGTACACTGTTTATCAATGTTAGTCTGCCACCCATAGAGAGGTACTGCATTTGCCATGTAGCAAGCCTTTTTTCAAACTTTTCAATCATTCCACTCCAGATGCCTTCCGCCTTGTATTTAGCCCCCAATGGAAGGCCCAAGTAAGTAGTTGGAAAAATTCTATTTCTACAACCGAATAAGTCTGCCAGCTCCTCAATGACATCGCATAGTCCTTTAGGCATCACATTGCCCTTTTAGGCATCACATTGCCCTTTTAGGCATTAACGTAGCCTCGTAGCATCAACATTGCCTCATAGGCATCAACATAGCCGTTCTAGGCATTAACATAGCCCTTTTAGGCATCATTGTAGCCCCCTAGGCATCACATAACCTTTTTAGGCACTAGTGTAGCCCCGTAGGTAATAGTACCACCTATATGCTTTGTACATACTTCAATAGCCCCTTAGGCATCCTGTACATAGACTCGGAGGCACAAGTAAAACCCCTGCAACTAACTACAATAGCTCCGTAGGCAGCAACAATATACAAGTAGCCTGAAGGCGGCGATCAATTTAGCTATAAGTGACCTATACAATTGATAGAAATGTCATATCTGAACACAGGGTCACTATTAATAGAATACAAGTCTCGACAAGGGATGAATATATCAACTTGAACATACAGCAATGTGCAATTATGGCTACGAGTAAATCAATGACAATAATCTAGCCATATAATTTCTACGCTTTAAGAAAACATGCCGAAAGAACGAAATCGCCTTAGCATACTTTTTCCCGACAATGCCATGTCGTCAATCTATTCCTTCCCACACTCCCACAAGGCTATATCAAGCGGGAACTCAATCATTCAATATTATGTTTGATCGGACAAACTATACAGATTTTTGCCGTAAAATACTATTTGTGGCCTAACAAAACTAGAATCGTTGGAAGGAGAGTCTTACGTTGCTCTAATGCTCTCTAAGCTCGAAATACTACTCGAAGCCTCCAATGCAGCCTAACTCCTACTGCCACAACACAACTGGAGCTACACCACACAATTTTTAGGGTAAACTACATAAAAATGATGAGCTCAGTGAGAACTACAACATTTGTTAAGCACTTAAGCTCGAATCATCAACATCTAAGGAGTATTTTGGTCCTATGCTCTGTTTTTCTGGTTTTGGGACAAAGTGGAAATGAAATAAAAATGAAGAAGTTGAGCGACATAGGGCCCACTGCAACCTACCTACTTGCGCAGTCTTGTGAAAACGCAAATATCTCTCTACTGTGAAGTTGTATTTGTTAACGGTTTAATGTGTTAGAAATTAATCCGAGAGTTTAATCTTAATAACCTTACTCCTTACTACTTTTTTCATAGAAAAAAAGAAGGGGTCGATTTAGGCTCCTTCCCTTTCAATGCCTAGCCGCGCAAGCAGGTACCTACGCAGGTACCACGAGCCCTCTGTCCCACGCATCTAACCAGCTCGCGGGTCATAGAACTTTGATGTGATAGGTAGTGAACTTTCTAACTCTTTATATATTGAGAGAAAATCTTTTAGACATCTAACTCAATTTTTAGAGAATTTATGAAAGTAATTTGTCATAACTTTTGCGGACGACTTCAAAACTTAACATACAACCATTGTGCAATCTGAATACCTCATAACACATCTTTCTTAGCATATTAAGCACTCTTTAGTCTTACTTCGAAAGTACAAATTAATTTAAAATCAACTGATGGAGTGTTACCACTGATACCAAATATTTTCTCCTTTCCTAGTAAATTCACAAGTTTTTAATTAGGCAACTCTTTACAATTTACATCTTAAAAATCACAAAACTGTAGATCTAATGATGGTTTAATTTTGGAGTCTGATGATATTTGTTTTCTTTATGTAGAAACGATCGGAGCTACAAAAAATTTACCGAACAATGATGAAAGCGGGCAGCATTTCATATCAGAAGGAATATTTCTCCCCTCGAATACTATCACAACTCATGTCAGTTTGTAAAGTACTATAGTTGTTTGGGGGCATTAGCTTATTTTATGTATATGTTTGTAACATATTTGTATTATTATGAGTAAAAGAAGTGCATCTGTATGGAACTATGGGCAAAGGCAGGGATTATATTTTTATGCAAGTGGTAAAGAAATGTTCATGTCATCAATACCGTGCAGATAGTCCTTATAAGGTCGATCCTATTTCTATGAATCTATGACCTTCGTTAATGGTAAGCCTATGATGAAGTCGATGGAGGTGAAAGTGTCACACATGAACATCCATAGAAAATCTCCAATATGTCGTGGTTGGGAAGTTTTCATATGGGTGGCCGGAAATTGAAGAATTACAGAGACTAATATTTTGCAATTTCAAACTTATTGGGGATTTTGTTGATGTTGACGAATGCATATTATCTCAAGGCCAACGAGGGGCTATCATAGCAAATCCAACCATTGATATGTGATTCAAAGTTCAAACTTAATGAGGAAACAACTCAAGTTTGTGGCATGGATTTTGTTTTCTAGTTTACTTTGGACATACTTAGTTGGAGAATCATTGTTTGCTCTAGTTTTGATTGATGTTTATCTACAACCTTTGATAGCGGAGCTAAAACAATTATCGTCTAAAGATGTAGTGACATATGATATATCAACTAAGCAAAATTTTATTTTGCATTATTCTCTAATGTGGATTATTAATAAAAAATTTTGTATATGAGATGGTGTATGGTTGAATGACTGTCGTAAAGTTGGATTGTCCATATTGTATGAATAATAGTAATACATTCACTTTTAAACACGATTGTAAAAATTCATGATTTGAATTTGTCACCATTAGTTATTGTTAATGGATCACGAGATTAGAATTATTAAAGTATTTTCAGAATGAATAAAATTGAAAATGATCTGCCATCTCCAACATTGTCATGAAATAAAATTTGGGAGAGAGTTTGTCAGTTATTAAGGTTACAAAAGCTACATCTTCTAGACTTTTCGGATATGGTTTTGGGCATAATTGGACTAAGCAGAACATATTTTGGGGGTTATTGTATTGGGATGATAATCTTTTACGAGGTAATCTTGATGATGTCACGTACATTGAAAAAATATATTTTGATAACTTGTTCAACACAACGATGGAAGTTAAGGACAAGACAAGATAATCCAAAAATCAGAACATATTCAAAGAAATATTGCCAGAGAAAGAAACTATTAGTGCACAAATCACAAAATAATAAAATGTTCAAATACAAGAGTAGCTTTTCAGAAATGAGAGATTTGTGAGTGGGTTATGAATTTAAGGATGCTTGAGGGATATGCTTCATATTTGAGTAAGTTTATTTTTCATAATTGATTTATTCTGTTTCTTTTCATCTTAATTAATTATTTATTTATGATTTGACACGTTTATTGTCTTTTTGGCATATTCTATTTAGGAAAAGAGAGCGCAAATACTGTCAAGGAAAGTATTAGAAGGTTTTATGACCGTCCTTATACATTCTTGGGTGAAATATCAAATAAGACACGATATGACATGTTTAATCAATTTAAAATATGCAAATTAATTGTTATTTAATAATTTTTTTGCCTTAATTTTTCATAATATAGCATCTAAGATTAGATACTTGATTTGCCGATATTGTGTACTTGAGTTTCAAAGTATAACAAGATTATTTCTACGATCTACGAGAAGAATGTCAATTTTAGAATGTCCGACTAGCTTAGAGATGCTTGAAAAAAAAAGTCTAATTGACTTTTACTTGAACTAAATAAGGATCTTCAGACATATTAAAGAATCACTAATTTTTTGGCTAAGTCTGAGCCGGCAAAGAAAGTCAAGGGATCCATAGGGACTCAGTAGGTAATATTAATAACTTTTTAATTTATATGTTCATATAAAGTTGATTAAATTTGTTTATATTTTGTTCATAGATTAAAAAATTAGGGTGTCAGCTAGCCCAGGATGAGCTCTTTCGATCGACACAAGTAACAAAAAGATTTAAAAAAAAAGTCAAATCTAGATGAATGAATTGAGCAAATTGCTAAAAATAAGAGCATGTGCTATATCATCGACGAATTTAGGGGTCGTTTGGTAGCTGGTTTAAGCTACATCTAATACATGAATAATTTTATTATTCATTTATTAATTTTATACCATGTTTGATTTGCAAAATAGGATAAAAGTTATTCATGTTTTAATTTTATACAATGTTTGGTTGGTAGGTTTCCATATGTTCTATAATAGTTATTCATGTAATAATTTTATATAATGTTTGGTTGTATTTTTTGTAATCCTACATTATTAAGACTTACATAACTTATGTGGAAATCTATGTATAATTTATGCGAAATAGAAAGTGAAATAAGTTATATGGGTATTAGTTATACGTGTATTAACATAATAAATACATATTTTCCTTATCAATTTACTTTTAAATGCATATTAATTTAAAACAAATCAAAATAGAATGTTTTTTTTCCAAATAACTGGAAGAGGAATTTGAATTACGTTGGTGTTAGTTATTTTAAGAAAAAATAAAAATTAAAGTTTCTATTTTCGGTCTTTTAATTATTTTAGTTTATATATAAAATAACAAATGTCTATTTCAAACTCCCGTTTCCCTAGGATTCATAGTTTTAAATTATTTCTTTTGTTTAGTATCTATTTATTTTTTTAAAATAAAAAATGTTAAAGGTAAATTTTAAAATCTATCTATATGTAATAGATACTGATTTAAATTTATTTTTTAGTTTAGAATTGTAATTTTTAATTTAATGTAATTATAAATATATAATTTTAATTAATTATAAATTTTGTTATTTTGCCTCTTCTATTGTATATATAGAGAGATTTAAATTACTTAATTGCTTAATCCTATCCAATATAAATTACTTTTAATTGCTAGCTATTTGTTATTTATTTTATTATTTTTAGTTATTGGTATCTATTTAATTTTAATGTGTTATTTAGATAGTTGTTTATTTTAATGAGTATAATAAACATTAGCTCACTAAGCATTTTTGGAATCAAGAAATAAGAATTAACTCACCAATGTATTGTAATCTTGTATAAGTAATAACTACATAACTAAACTTTGTATAACTAATACGAGTAATTTCCCTGGATAGTCACCCATGTTTGGAAAATTACCTAGGAATATCATTTATGCTTGTTTTAGGACCACAATATCACCCAATTTTACCTATTTTTCTCAAATATACTTGACACAAAAAAAAAACATTATCTCTCTCCTAATAGGATGCCATGTCACATGCATTATTCCTTTTTTATTATTAGCATTTTAAAAAATTAAAATTAGACAACCCATATTACCCAGTAAAAAAAAATTACATAGCCCAAAAATTTCTACCCTAGTTCTGGGGGATTAGGCAGCAAATCCAAATATGAGCTCCTCCGATTCTTCAAGAAAATATGTGGCTTCCTCCAATTTTTCAATTCAACAAATCATGAAGATCATTGGCCAAAAGTATTAAATGGTGGAGAAGTTTTTCCTCCTAATGTTGTGAAGAAAAAGAGGGGGAGGAAGCTCAAAAATAGGAAGAAAGAACCAGAAGAATTAGAGAAGCAAAAAGCTGCTGAAATTACTAAAAAAAGAGCTCGAAAGAAGACCGAAAACATGAAACCTCAGAAGTTGTCAAAAAAAGGCTTTGTAAAAGGAAGGTGTTCAATTTGCAAGGAGGAGGGTCATAATGCAAAAGGTCATTATAATGTGCTCAAAAAGGTTGTTGGCACATCTTCCAATCAATCTCCAGGTCAGACCTTAGAGCAAGCTGAAAATGATGACTTCTGGGACTATTCTAAATTTTATCATCCAGAAATGTGAGTAAATTCTCAAATGAATTTGAACTTCACAAACTCAGGTAGTGAGTTTTTGATTTGTTTTTTCTTTCATTAGTTTCATTGTTTAGTTGTAACTTTTTGTTCCATTGCTTTTATTGCTTAGATTTTTTTCTATGTTTGCTCAGGTGTATGCTGAATCTGTTGATTAATCTTCCACTAAAAAGTGAAGAAATCATTTTGAAAGAGAAGAAATGAAGGATTATGTAGTTGCTTTGCAGAAGGAGAGAAACTCTAGCAAACATTTGGGATTATGTATTAGTGTCTTTTGTTAGTTATGTGAATCACTTCTTTAGACACATGATGGGTCTTCTTTTTGCTAAAACCCCTGTGGTAACATTATGGTCTGCTACAGTGTGCTGTTGCCACTTGTCTATAAAAATATTATTTAGTTGTAAATTATAGCAAATCATGACATGCTTTTTTGAAGCGTTTATGCTAAAGAAATATTATTTTGAAGATCAAATTTGTTTATAAGGTGGTGATAAAAAATTTGTTACTAAATTTATTGTCTTCTTCATCAGCTTCAAGGAACTAGTTTAATTTTTTTCTCGACAACAAAACTAAATTTTTGTATGGATATAACGGCAAATACTTGTAAATGAAACATAGGATAAAGATTTTCTCTATAAAATTGAAGTAACTAGATTTTCATAGAGAATGGATTAATGCTCTCTTATAGATACATTAAACAAGCTGTCATTTAAAGAATTTAAAAAAAGTTAATAATAAAAAAGGAATAATGCATGTGACATGGCATCCTATTAGGAGAGAGATAATGTTTTTTTGTGTCAAGTATATTTTGAGGAAAATAGGTAAAGTTGGGTGATATTGTGATCCTAAAACAAACATAAGTGATATTCCTAGGTAATTTCTCAAACATGGGTGACTATCCAGGGAAATTACTCTAACTAATACCTACGTAACATCATAACTAATACCTGCGTAACTAAACCCTACATAACTAATACCTGCATAATTTGTTCTTGCATAACTAATACATGTATAACTAATGCATGCATTACTCTAACCAGCTACAAATAAGTGTGTAATCTGATTGAAGGTGATGTGCATAGTGTGCCCAGTTCTCCTCCCACCTCAGTTGATGAAGAGAGTTCTAATGATGTTGAAGAGTGTGTGGGATGTACCCGTTATGTTTGAATTTTTCTTGTTGAACCTATTGAAATTTTTATGATACCTTGTATATATTTGAAGTTTAGAACTTTGATACACTCCGTAGATTCTTTTGATGGATCTTTACTTTTGAATTTGATGTTTTTAATTGAGATAAGTATCAAAAACACACTTGAACTATATTTTTTTTAGTTTCATATCTAAACTATTGAGAGTGTGAGTTTTATACCTAAACTATCACTTATTAGTTTGAGAAACACACCTCTCTTTTATAACACTTTCATCATGGTGTGTGTAATACACGGTAACACCTCGATCTTAGAAATAGCTAAATTTAGAAAGAACTAAATTGGAAAGACCTAATTTGAGATTTGTGCAAGTTAGTCTTCAATTGTGAGTTTTGAGTCAACTTCAAACGACCATAACTTTCAGCACAAGATGAGTTAGATGGCCCATGAGATATCAAATGAAAGATCTAATTTCTCTTTCCAACGCCACTGAGTTTGCTAAATTCTGAGTTCGGATGAGGGAGATATGCCCATTTGAGTTCAGTCTGTCCATTTAAGGGAATTCATCCGAATTAAGAAGGGGTATTTTGGTCTTTTTCTTACCCCATGATGAGTCCAAGATTTAGACTTATTTAGGGCTTTGTTTTGATAGTTTTAGTGCTTTCAAATGCCTA